AAAAAAGACAACCATCCAACCGATATAATAAATTACTGCACCCTTATTATACTCACTGACTGAATATGTGCAAGTGTGATACTAAATAACCATAACTAACATAAATGTATATATACAAACATGTATTTGTTTATATATAATGATGGATTTCAAGTGATAGAATCTGTTCCAACGAAGAAGCAAACTCATCTACATCTTGTATCTTGTATCGTTACTGAATGAATTTTTCTTTTTAAACAAAACTGTTGTGCAAATGATTCAACGACTCATATCAAACTCACTTGTTTCGTTCTTTAAATAATAAGTGTTTTGAAAAAATGAGTTCAAATTGATTCATACTCACCCAAAACAAACACGAACAAAGAGAAACCCAATTGTCGCCACCGACTGGTAAAACTATGTGGTTGCAAAATTAGTAACTGAGAAATATCCACCACTAGTATGAAAAACACAAATAGGACTCTAGCAATGCTGACTGGACAGTCACATTTCAGGAACAGAACTAATGGATAAACAATTAGTTGTGCGTATATGTTATTGGAAAATAATTTATTAATTTAGAATGTAAGTGAAAGGGCTTTTTTATGGGTTCCCCTATGATTTTAAGACAGGAAGTGACTGCATTTATTCACAGGAAACACTGTCAATCCCATTCTCAGGCCTGTCAGCTAATAAAACCAAAAAAGCGGTTATTGAAATGGAAATGACCCAAACTCTCTCTAATCCAAATCCCCATGTGCTGAACAGGCTGTATTTCCCCGTAAGCCAAACTAAAGACCTGTTTCCTCTGCCTAAGTCATCTGAATCTCAGCCGGGGTGAGCAGGTCTAAGGAAGTGCCGATTCTCCCTAAAGAGGACTTTGGAGGCTGGAAGATTCCAGATTTAAGGAGAGCTGATAGGCTGATTGCGGATGTGGACGTCTACTCCCTTTGCTGAGGGGCTATCGGCTATCGGAGATAGGGAAGTGCTTTCATCCTAGGAAGGAAAAGAGCTTCCTTCTTTCATCTGTCACTCTGAGTTCCCCATCTTTTGTCTAACAGGAAAGGTCATTTTGTAGACCCCTTGATGGACGAATTTTACATAAATCATATTTTTTACACACTGTAGTATAAGTCGAACTTGTCTGTATGAACAGGGGTCCATTTTATTTCAGTCAACGAGGAGGCAAAAGCCAAAGTTAATTACTATAAAAGATCTGATTCTGAGCAGAAGACTGAGGGACTCTGTTTAAG